GTTGTGGTCATAATGGTAACTTTAAGCTATTTGACGCTATGGCTAGTTATTCCAACTTATATGCCAATAATAAGATGTTCTTTTCCAAAAGAAAAGTAACAGGCGCTGAGTTGATGTCAACAAACAAAGTGAATTCCACAAAAACTAACTCAGCAGGCGTTGACCGGGAGCAGTTCTGCATTTGTTCAGAAGACCGTACAACGTGCCAGTAGTTCGTTTACCATCTTAACAACATATGGTTGACAAACACTGATTCTTCGAAGTGACTTCACGTTTTTAGCAAACTGGTTTGCTACGTTGAAATGAAACTTTGTAAATAATCTTACCATTATGGTAATTCAACGCGAACAACTCGAGTGAGCGAACAACTCCGGAATCGACATGCATATAGCCAGATGTGCGATAATCCGACAAAGAGAATTTATGCATGTAGGCATTTTGCTCGTCCATCTTGAGATATGTGAACAAACCACAAAGACATCGTTTTACAGAATCAGATAAAGAGGTAACTGCAAGGGAAAGAACTTTGTAGGAAAGTTAATAGCGGGCACATATGAAGCTGCAATGAAAAAAGACAACATACCTTCACAATTCTGACGGAACATACACAACACTTCTTCCCAATCACAAGTATTTTGTAGAGATTTGGCACTCGTTTCAAGAACGCCTACCTTCTTAAGGAGTGACTTAAGCTTTTTCTGTCTATCCTTGCTGTCGTACACAATACTGCCTTCATCAACATAGACAAGACATTCACGTGGAGCGATACCAATAAGGCATTGCTGTGAATTTCAAATTGTAAAACCTACTAACTAAATAGATAATGAAGCAGTATAAAAAATCAAAGAAAACCTCGATTTGAGAAAAAAGTGGACTGTCAATAAATTCGGATGTTAGCACACGGAAATCCAGGAGATCCAGAAAACAAACACCGACTTTGTTCTACAATGAAAAAAAAACTAAACAAAAGAGCATCCAATGTCAATGATGCCATTGTAGATTACTAACATCCTCTCCATTACTTATCTCCATGGCCATGATTACGTTACCGCCACCAATCATGTCCCCAATGATCTCTTCAAAGTCGCCAAGATTCCCAATGGTTCCCTACAATTGTAAGGTAAAAATTGTACTACTTAAATCCTATAATAGACACTATAAGAAAATTTATGGTAAACTCTGTAAGAAACCTTGGCTTTCATTTTCCACTGATCTCCTTCTAACCCATACAATTCTATGCGATATCGCATGAACATAAGAAGCTCGCGAATTGTACGTTGGAACTGGCCATTGTTCATTGTCATATACTGAACCGATTCTCCTAAATGTACTTCAGACTTCTTCTGGAGAGTAAATCCTTCCACTATGAAATGATTTGACCAAGCTCACCCATGAGTGTTTTCGTTTTCAGGCAAACGTCACTCATAAAAACTTCCTTAGCTAGAAAAGTTGCGTCATCTCCGTAACAAGCGTAGTAATCCTGAACCGGTGCACGATAAACCATCTCTTCATAGGATATGGAATGACATTTTACTTTACTCTACAGTGAAAAAATACTTAACGTCGCCTACAGAACATCACAACATTAGCGTGCGTATAGCAAGCCTGCTTTAATACAGAAAGGACCTTGATTTGATTCTATACTCTGGCAAGCCAAGCTACCCATCCTTCCGGGATCAGTAAATTTATACCAAAATCTTCTGGGAGGGCAAAAACACTGATTTGACATATTGATTGGTAGGCGATTATAAGTCAATGTATAGGTGAGATACCCATTCAGTCGCCACTGATTCTTGATGAAGTACCATGAATGGCTTGAGGAATTGATCAATGCTGATGCTATATGCTTCATAAATAAAGGATAAAAGATAAAGCTCTCTGCGTTGACCAATTCTTGAGATGCGCCATGCATTCGACTTCACTAAGCATCGTTTTGAGGTGACTGAATGCATATTTGGCCTTTACAATGACCCGCAGTGGCTTACCGATGTATCGAGCCAGTACTGCTAACCTCCCAGGAAACTCTGGTACCAAATTGCCAACCCCGAAGAGATGAAGCTTGGTGAGCCCTGGGCGCGGGACCGACCTCAAGTGTGTATCACTGGGCGCCTTTGACCACAGCGTCATACACACCCCTGAGCTCTATATGAGAGACTTGAAAATCGCCAAATAAGTAATGCATACCCCTCTATCAAATATAGCAACAGTGCTGGCAGCCTTCGCATTTAAAGCTTGAAGCAGTGACTTGTCTGCTGACTCCATATCCGCTGCACTGAAAGCACTTGAAACTCGTAAATAATGGAGGTATGCAAATTCTCTGCTCATTGCAAACTTTTTGCAAGGCATCAGGTGAGAGCAACACTTCACGAGACTCATGAATTCATGTCATGACTGTTTATGGAAAGATTCAATTATCACCCAATTAGAACGTCACTACAAATAGGAACACTGTACCACGGAGTGCTGAAAGACTACAATTATTTCCCAACACAAACAAGCACATAAAAGCTTGATAGAGCAATAAAAATGTCTAAAAATAGAATTCGGGCACAATGACTATGTATTACAACTACAACACGTCAAATTAGGAAATTGACCTAATTAATTTACAGTATTAAGATGGTCTAGAAAGTCTCGTCATCGACATCAACTGCTTGAGCAATGCCTTCTCCTCCGTCTTCAATGCCCTAAATGTCCAAACCTCATCTTAGTAACTAATTCAAGAATGCGAATGTAAACAAAAAAAGTTATTGTGAGTGCAAAAAAAAGATAAATGAACATTTACTAATGATTATGGTTGTTTAGAATTCCATATACCATGAGAAAGATTGTAGCCTGTAGTACTTTCCAACGGTTTACCCCTCGTCGTGGCTGAGAGGTGATCCTGAGGGTCGGGCTGTGATGCAAAACGGGGAATTCATCTCCCGGCAGGGTCTGCGATGGTGAGAACGAGTCCGGCGTTTCCATTATGAAGTCCAGCTAAGAGGAAACCAATACCAAGATACACCGCCGTCCTGGTATCAAACTAGTCGCATGGTGCCAAATCTCCCTCTGATCCACAAGGGCAGCGAATGTCAGTGGTGGAGACGACCTGGAGCAGACTTTGGTCTGGCTGACCTCGGGACTCCAGAGAACCACTCCAAGTATCCAAGTCTACAGTGAGTTGTTCTATGTGAAACAACCCAAAAGGAAAAAGATGACGAGAATAAAGACCAAACTTCTGCAACCTCGAAATGAAATGTCCCACACACTTACATTTGATTCATACAGAATAGCCAGTACAGATTCTTTGTTAACGGTATCGCTATCTTCACATGCATTGCACATATCCTCTATTTTTCTGAGTTTTTCAAAATAAAAATTCCGCTCGTTCTCCAATGTCTCGCATATAGTCATCATCTATAAAATGTTATATTGTGGTGAAAAAAGAATGAGATACAGTTTAACATGAAATGAAAACAGTCAGAATAGGAACATACTTCTTCATTTCGTCGGACAAGCTCAGCGTTTTCCTCCTCTAAACTCTTCAAAGTTGGTGAAACAGAAGCTTTATTACGATTAGAAAGAGGGGGATTTGGTGATGCTAGAACATTTTTCACCAATTCACAAGTTTTCATGACATTTTCAATTTCTAGGAAGTCTTTAAACAATAAACATCAAGTACATGACATGAAACCACATTTCTTCCCAGTAGAAGGAACAGATGTCCGAACTGGTTGTTGTCCGGTTGCTGAACTTCTTGCAGGTACGATACGAACAGGTGCAGGTCCCTTCGCTCCGGCTGGGAGTGGCTAAAAGAATGCTTCCATGAACAAGCAATCCTCATAGAACATTTGAGAAGCGATGAAGTATGTAAAGGATCCAAAATGGATAGTAAGATGTTAAGGAAAGGTCAAACTAAAGCAAACATATGTGCAGATTACCGATAAAATGAAAACCCACTTCTCCACCACGAGCAGCTACTGCGTCATATTCTTCACCATCATTTACATAATTGGCGTTGAAGAACTTGTAAAACCATTGTAAAAACTCAAAATTGTCTTGAAACTTCGCTTTCGTTAACCGCTCCACTTGGACAGGCTAAAAACGATATTTAAAGCGAAAATAGTACGAGGCGAATGCAGAAAAAGGAATTAAGAAAGCAAGGGATAAACAGAATCCTTGCCGAGAACTAACACCGTACAACATTACTGCAGATATGACTAAAAGCCTTAAAAACTATCAGTAAAACACTAGAGATAAATCCTTTGCCCTATTTCTTGCTCGTAACTCATTTCTTTAAGCAACTACGGGCAATAAAACAATGAAACCTTGTCAACTCCAAGCGTTTTCCAAGCAGTACCCAGTATTTTCCAATTATTTATATGGTCCATTTCATTACGGCTATTCCATTTAACCTTAAAAAGCGGTACTTCCGTAAAATGTTCTCAGGAACAAAACAAACAGGCAACGAAGAGGTACCGAAGAAGGCGAACCTTACGAAGGCTGATCCCGTCTCGGAAGAGCAGATGCGTGAGTTGGCAGTAAGCGGCGCCCGTGCTCATCTCCTCGATTTTCGAGAAATTAGCCTATGATTGCCATTGACTAGTCACTTCAAGAAAGTATTGCAATAACAAATTGTAAGATTTCTTCGAAGGAACTAATTTAACAAACGAACTGGAACGTGAATAACAAAGCCATAGATATGTGACATTCAGAAGTCTGCCAGCTGCTATTGGTTACTCCGCAACGGGTTATTTCTATTGTCGTCATCAGTATTATTATTATTATCGTTATTATTATCATTACTATTATGTTATTGTTATCACCATATTTATTACTACCGCTCACCACTCTCAGAAGCACTGAACCGTTTCCTCTAAGAGCTAGTAGTGAATATTACCAATTGAAGCTCAACCCCTAAATTTTTGGTGGGACGCACGCCGCTGAAATTATCCCGATAACTAAAACACTCGACGAGTTGAGAAATTGACAAGCTTGTGGAGAAGAGTTCGCCCTATTCCTCTAAGGGAGATTTTCAGAAAAGATGAAATCCTGTTGCTTTGGTTAAGAATCACCAACATATCAACTAAAATCATCGACTGGCTCTAAAAATTAAAAATGAGAAATAATCCGCTACACATCCCGAAACTGCGACAAAAGAAATGCCCTAAAAGCCCTTCAACTGTTTGTGGTCCTAGCAACGAATGTCAGTCATCTTATTCACACTCATTTCATAATTCCCTCCCTGTAACATTCTTCGTTCTCCATATTTGTCAATTGAGTTGGTCTTTAGATTATGTAGCTGGCTCGCAAAAGAAATACCACAGCATGTCTAGTTTGCAAATTCATACTTTGACTATTCCAAAGCAGTTCACAGAAGTCAACGTCACAGTCGTTAACACTTTGAATGAAGTGCAACTGAGAGCAACTAACCCCAATGGTGCTGTTGACCCATGCAAGGAGTTCATGACGCGATATGTTGTCCTGTGTCACTGCCGAGACGTAGACGTTCGTCACCATAGTACTCAGATACTTTTGAAATCTGGAATAGGAGAGATGAATCGAACAGTTGACGAAGCGCTATGTCAACCAAACGTTTCAAAGAAATGTGCAGAGGCGTAGCAACCCTTGCCGAGTACCATTTAACCCGCCAGCTAGGAATTCCCCTGGACCAACTCATAACGAATGGAGCACGACAATGTGCAGGTGATGGCACGGTTACAATCCCAGCAATATCCGTTGAAGGTGATACATGGTAACCGTTCCACTCATTTTCTTGGTTGAGGATCCGAGCATTCGCATCTTCACCTTTTTGCAACTATTTGGCTATCTCAATGGTAACATGGTTACTAAGGAAGTGTTTTGCGGACAAGTTCATTCCTTGGCGAGATATTATTGCTGTAAAGAATAGAGATGTCTCTATTATACTTGAACAATGTGGTTGGAAACTTGGCAACTACGCGACGACGTGAACTGTGTGGAATCAGAAGTGAGATGCATTGTGGCCCGTGCGACTCCCATAGAAGTCATTTCTTTCTCGTGTTCTATTTAAGCGCAAAGAACTTTCCTGTACCTCTTGTAATTGATCGATAGCTTATCGAACACTGATGTTTTGTGGGGCGCCGTTAATGGAGGATTACCCTTGATACTTAGTAATTCACAAAAAGAAAGTGATTTTTAGACGAGTTCGTGGTTTCGATAGAGAAACTACTGTGTTAAAGGAACGAACAGAGACGTCTCTAATGTTACTTAACACTGAAGCTCTGAAGAAGGCAATACTGCCGAGATGTCAGCTACCGCTATGTTGTGTGTTCTTCTTGTACGGAAGTAAACGTGTGGTGTAGAACAATCTCGCGATTAAGAAAGTCGATATTGGGGACTATTAACACTGAAGTTTAACAGTGCAGTTCGGAGTCCATAGAGTTCGCGTTCAATGTGCTTCGACACAATTTGTCTTCAGAAACAGTTATGAACCACCCTCTTACCACAACTCATCGATGTTCCTCCATCGAAAATTATAAACGAGACGCTCTATAACAACCTAAGGACGAACACACACTTCATAGATGGAGAACGATCGTGGAACATCACCCACATAAACATGCAGGTAATTAATACAGAGCGAGGGACAACAACCAAAAGAGGGTTTGGTGAAGAGAAAAGGGATTATGCTCGTGTATTAAGAAACAAGTGCCTTACTTCATAAACGGATTTGTAGTACTTTTCAAGAACGAATAGGGTAACACTAAAGGTACTTGCGTTTATCCAGACCTGTAGGAAATCCTTCCAACACTTGAACTACTGATTGTTGCTTCGTATTGATCTCGCTAGCTGTGCGATCGCAGTGAGGAACCACGGCTAGGATCGAGCGAGTGCTAGTGACATGCAAGCACCAGAAATGCTGAAACAAGTCTCGTCTACACATCTGTTCAGTTTGCAATTCCTGAAGCACTTGAATTAATGAGAAACCAGGCATTGCACGTCATGAAGACCATAATTTGTGATCAGTAAGTCATTGTTGACGATTGTTGGCTCTCTCGTAGCGCAGTGAGTGGAGCTCTGCAGGTCACGGACTATTCGGTCCAGTCTAGCGGCCCGTGGTCACAGGCCGTTCCATCGTTCTGGGATCAGAGAATTGTTAAAACATTTGTCTGGGAGAATAGTGGCTCTGACCTGATACACCGGTTTTCCGGCACTAGTCATTGTATAGGCTAAATATGCACTGAATCAGCTCTAACGACTTTTGAGAAAGTCGAATGCATGATGCAACCTTAGGGATTGGTCAACACGGAGAGCTTTACCCTTCTATCGTCTTTATGAGAGTGGGCACATAGTAGTCGTTATGACTCCTACTGCCGTCATAGCGAATGCGGGGAAGAAGGCGCTAGGCGCTGCCGTGTAGGTGCTAAGGGCACCTGTTCGCTATGGAGAGATGATAAATCAGCGAAGAGACTTCGTTAGAGTTTCGCAGTTTGGGATGATGTGTATGTCAGGACGCTTCAACACAGTTAGGTTTTAGCAGTTTTAAAGTTTCATTACGGGAATCTTTTATTGATGTTTTAGACGTTGTGCACAAGAACATTTGTTTTACAGTCTACAATTCATAGATACATACAATTCATATATCCTACTGAATAAGAATCGAGACTTTACATACAAGTTGTAGTGATCAACTACAATCAGCAATTTTCACCCAGAACTTGAATATCTTAGTTACTTACAGTTCTTCATGTTGTACTTCCAATGGCTTGTAATCATGATAAGTTGAAAGTCCCCGTCACGATCTGTGGATAATGCCATAATCATGTCTTTCCTATATCTTCCCTCAGAAACCTTTCTATCGGCAGGATAACCTGCTTGGGATGTCCATCCTGTTCTTTTTACAGATGCTAATAACACTGGTCCTTTTCTGCAGCGAGTTCTCAGCCAATGGAAAACTTGTGTACCAGTTACTAGTGTAGATGTGCCCCTTTCACTCGCACACTTTATCAGTACAGATTGGGCTGCATTACCTACCACTGATGAAGTTATCGACACCAGTGCTTTTCATTACATGACCAATACATCACATATATCATACTATGCGTAGCTCAGCACATGCATTCCACCAATCTCCCCACATACATCATACACGAAGATCTCCAAACTTTTTCGTGTGGATTCGGCCAGTGCTTGAGGATTTCTCGTTTTGAGCATGAATGTCATTGACTGCTGGTCGATTCTACTCTCGCTGGAACCCTGGAATAACCGTGCCAGAGCTTTCCCACGTGAAATAGAAGGAATCACCCTGACCAAAACAAGCCTGATACCAATTTTCCGACTCCGAAAGGGGATGAGAGGCTTCATGGACTCGGTGCAGGGTCGACCCAGTGCCTGGTTAGATTGGACTGTCGGCATAATAAACTGGATCACTACCATCGTGCCATCTGCTCATTTTACTGCTACCTGCTCCCTTTAAGGGTGCATACCGAAATTCTACAGGTGCTACCATGTCTCCTAAAAAGCTCTAAAAGCTCTCGGCATTGATCATTCCCTGAGTGATGCGCTATCCATTCGACTTTAATAAGTATCGTTGGAGGTGATTAAATGCGTATCTGGCCTTTGCAATGACTCGCGGTGGCCTACCGATGTATCGAGACAGTGCTGCTATCCTCCCAGGCAAGTATGGTACCAATTTGTCGACCCCGGAAGGATGGAAGGCATGGTGGGCCATGGGAGTGGGGATCGATTCCATATGTGTGTCGCAATGGCGTCTCCAACCACTGCTCCACACGCGCCCATACCATATCTCTAATGTTGAATAATCTTTTCCCGCTGATGAGCGCCTGTTCAAAAAGGAGATCGCCAATCGGGCTAATATTTTCCAAATACGGACAGTGAGTTATCCTTTGCTTTTACGTTCAATGTGACGAAGAGCTACTATGGAAGATCGACGGTATTCCAGTCCATAAGTTACTAGTCATTTTTCCACTGTGTAAAAAATCGCAGAGACAAAAAGCAATATTGACGAAGATCACTCAACACACTGGTACCCGGTGCTTAATTCTGTGTGCACACTTCCAAGAGTTGATTTTAAGTGAAAGGGCTGTGTACTGCACCGATGCACCTCTCATGCGATGCACAACTCAACTGAAGCATCAAAGCCACTCACGTGGGATATATCAAACTCATTTGCGAAAGATGAAGTATTCACTGATTTGGACACTTGGATACTTGGACGGCCCATCTGCACCAGTTATGAGGGCCCAGCGCGATCTCCATTTTTTTTTTGGAGACCTGGTGGTTGAGCCTTTGTGGTTTCCTGGAATCCCGAGGTCGGCATGGTCAAAGTCTGCCTGGGATTCACTAATATGACGACTACTATTCGTTAGTTCTACATGCTCAGTGGACCTGCGCCGCATAAATTTCAAAGACATGACACTATTTTTGTCGCTTATGTTGTAACATCAGCTCCAACCGTATGACCAGTTCGAATCATGCTGGAATAATTCATCTGTATCACCTGTAAGCCCGTTGATCGTCGAGTGATTCGAACGGGTGCCGGTAAATCCTTCACTTTCCCTATCGCGTGCAAGAGTAGCCCAGTGGGTTCTGTTCGCTCTAGAGAATCGTCGAGCATCATATCTTTCTTCTAGACTTTTCGTGAAGAACTCTAACCATCGGGTCGGTGGTCTTCCCGCAGTACATTTGACATCCCCAGGAATCCAGTCACTAACGACTTTCGTCCATCGGTTGTCATTCATACGCATTACGTGTCCCACCTTATCTTCGACTGTTTGACGTAAAGAACAGCATCTCTGATTTTTGATCGTTGACGTAGGTCGGAGCTTCGGATCCCGTCCCTTATTTATGTGAAAAAGGATACTCCTAGCACCGTCCTTTCGACTGGGTGTTCGATAACGCAGAGTGATCATTAATCCTGCTTACGCAGAGACCAGGTTTCTGACGCATACGTTAGGGCAGAAAGCAGCGTTGAATCGAAAAGGTGTGCACGGAGTAGAGTGTTCTTTGCTGTTTTCACTACATCCTCGATGCTCTTGAAAGCTCCCCAAGCCGCTCGTTTCTGTCTGCTCAGCTCTGGAGCTAGGCCGTTCATCATATTGATTTCCCGACCTAGATAGATATAAGTGAATGGGGCATATGAAACCAATCCGTTCTTCATGAACATCGTCTTGTGAGATTTAGTCGAAGACCAATCAGTCGAAGTCGAAGTCGAGTCGAAGACCACAGGCTCTATCAAAGTCGGTAAGCATTCGTTCTGCTTGGCTAATGTTTGGTGTTATAAGGACGATGTCATCATCAAAGCGAAGATGATGTAACTGCCGACCATCGATTTTCACTTCCATATTATCCCATTCCAATGTTCGCATGACGCTCTGGAGGGTGGCGGTAAATAATTTTGGCGAGATGGTATCGCCTTGCCTAACTCCTCTTTTGACGTCAATGTTAATGTCGTTGTAGAATGGTGATATCTTGGTTGTGAAATTTTTGCAGAGCTCACGAAGAATCTTTGTGTACTGAGTAGGGACGCATTGATTATCAAGGACTTCCATGATTGCTTCTGTCTCAGTTGAATCAAAGGTCTTCTGTAAATGGATGAAATTGAGACAGAGCGGTCTTTTGTACTCTCGCGATACTTCAATGAGCCTTGTTATCGTGTGGATGTGGTCCATCGTAGTAAATCCTTTTCGAAACCCTGCTTGCTCACATGGCTGTCCTTCGTCCAGTGTTCTGTCAATCCTGTTTAAGATGACTGGAGTGAAAAATTTGCAGACGACAGACATCAAGCACATTTCCACTTCGAGCGTTGAAGGTGGGGCTTTTGGAATTGCGAGTTACCATGGGTGGTCTTGATCGCCATGATAAACTCAGAGAGCCGCTCGCCCTGTTCGTTCCATCCTAATTCATGAGTCCCAATGTGACGTTCTTCTTGGTCCAATCTTGGCGTTGATATCTCCAGGGATGACCTTGAAGAATGTGTGGTCTTCTCTGCGGAACTTATCCAAGTCCATATAAAACGCTTCGATTTCTTCTCCGTCATAGTTTGGTATCGGCGCGTAAACGACAATGGTTTTCGAAGCCGCTATTGATCCACATCTCTTCAATCGTACACATCCGATTCTGGTTTTTCGTTGTTTGATTATACCTAAGTTCGTGACTAAACTCGCGTCGACGATAATGCCAACGCTGCCGACTGGTGCACCGTCGCATCTTTCGGGGAACAGTTCTTCTCCGGTGTCATAGGCGGCGTTGAATGGGTGACGTCGTCTCATCTCGGCCGGTCCGATGGGGTCGTACCTCGTCTTTCTCGTTTTCAAGATCAAATCTTCTATCGAGGACTCAGATGCAAGTGGGCATGCATTTTAGGCACGGATCGTCACCTTCGCCCTATGCGATTTACGCAGCCTAGAATGGTCCTGATATTTTAGCAGCCTCTCCGTACTCGTACTACTCAACGCTGCTGAATCGGGGGCTCTTTCGAAATCAGGGAAATAAGGCCCGTTTCTTTCACTGTGTTTAGCTTTTTCAAACCCACGTATAGCTTGCTGAGTACTGAAGTTGCGGGTAGGTATACTCACGGATAGCTTGCCCTTATCCGTAGTCTGGACATGGACCTTATTTGTTGGAGGCGACTCTTAACCGCCTCCCGTATACTTCCCGGTCACTTGATTGCAGGATTTTGGTCGAATTGGCTCGTAGAATAAAACCCGCATAACCGAGAACGCACCCACACACGCATGCATGAATACGCCTAGCAAATATAGAAAGTATGTGCCAAATCGGAGCAGCAAAAACAGGGAGTCCATCCCCTGGATCCACCTGCGTCCCAGGGAAGCAAAGGTCGCTTTTGGCCCGCGATTAGCCCCTATCCGCCACCTGAGGACGTGCCACATAGCCTCGCGACTGATCGGTCCAGTCTCGAGCTGGAATTATTAGCAAGCAAATAATCTTAGAACTGTGCCGTGACTACCGAATTGCTGACTTATTTTCACGTAAAAATGTATATTTTATCAAGAATGTATTATTAAATCTTTGAATACCCTTGCACACGTTAAAAAGTATAGGTCTGTGTTTATTAGCTTTTGTGGCTCCACTGATGGGTTCCTTTATTACAATTTTGATTTTGTGATAAAGATTTATGCAGACACAGATCGAAATCGAAAGCTCTGATGACGGTAAAGATTGAGTGACTGGACAGGAGTAAGACATTAACAATACCTGGGCAGTGAGTGGTAACTCGTAATGACTACAATGTCGTCCATAGCATTCCCTTCTCATCTATCTATTCCATGTTTTTGTACCATCACGTGGGACAAAATGAGGAGAACACTGTACACATAGCGGCAGCTAACGTTGTTGTATGGAAGGCGAAACAAGGATCTTTTGTAGAATTACTAAGATGTTGAATTCACTGCTATCCGCGGATAGAGGGCACAGAAATTTCCGTATTTTTCAAGAACAAAATTCCATGTTTATTGGTTGCTGAGCAATAATTCTTAGTTTCAGCTAAGTTCAAAAACTACAGGGGACCGTAGTTGGTTGCATCCAGTAATAACAGTCGGGTTCAAAAACTTAATCTATCACTGAGAATTTGCTTTTGGAAATCTACTTAAGTTCGCTCTAAACGAAGAACTTGCGAGTACAGTCGCGCCCGATGAAATATGTAAGCGGACGATCTTGTATTCACTACGGATTAAAAATTAGCTTTCGAGGAAAATCACAGGAGGATCAGAATGGCACGAATTGTCCCGAATTCGGAATATTGAGAAGTTGAGAATATAGTGTTCGGTTTGACAATAACAATCGTTGTCTCCCAAGAAAATTTTGCCCGTAATGGCTGGAACCGATCTCGCATGGAAAGCTCTTCTCCATCATTAGGAACGAAGTCAGAAATCTGTTGCATGAATGATGGTCGCTGGTTTGGAGTCAGAACGTGAAACTGGTACGTCTTTCCGACCATTGGCTCGATTTTTCTCCTCCAAATGGAAGCTCATCCATCGATAACAGTCCATCACGATGTTGAAACACCAGATCTGGAAAATATCGAAGTGAGTGATTCATAGAAGAGAAAGATACTTGAAGTCGCTACACTGAATCTTCCACCAGCGGAGTTCCTTCTTTATTTGGTAACCACTCCAACTCAGTCATTTAAAAAAATAGTACGGAGTATGATGTATGAACTATAACAAAAGTTGTGAACCTACATTGATAAGCGCAGAAATAAAGTATCCAATGATATGCAAAACCAGTAGACCAATGAGGAAACCGGATACCAGCGATATCTTGATCGGTGTAGTATCCAGCACATCCTGTACATCAGTGCATTTAGAAAACGATTCAGTTTCGAGAATATTCCATGTTTTAACTTATTATTTAGTGCCTACTTTCTTTAACGGCAGGGTATACATTGTGAAATATAACTTCAATGATGCTGGACAATAGCGCGTTCGTTCCCCACCGCATACACCTGCGGTCCGGAGTTTTGCAAATATCTCAGCATCATTGAAGTTATATTCCATGTTTCTCTTCCTCGCTACTTAATATTATATTTCACTTTAACTCCGTTTTATTAGATGATTAGTTCACCGATCGCAACTCAACTTTCTCAGGACTCTTCACATTTCGCACCACTGAATAGAAAAAGGCAACAAATAGTGCAATGAAAAGATCTATTTTGTCTTATTTTAGGCTTAATTTAAGTTGCTATATCCTCTTTTAGGTTTTAGAATTAGTTGGACACCGTATTTCCTTGGGTATATTACAACTCCAATCATTCTTGGGCACAAACCTCAGCCAACTGTTCGCCTTGGCCGCCGAAAATGATGATCCTGATTTGAACGGAGGTGCCAGCGAAGAGCGCATAAGCTGCACACGAGGCCATTCCGAGCAGCGTAAGCATAATAAGAACCTGCAGATTTCCAAGAATTAAAAAGAAGAATAAGGCTCTTGACCCTCTTATTTACTGCCTTTTTTCTTTTTAATGGCAGGGTATGTTGCGAAATATAACTCCTATATAATGCTGATATAATTGCAAAACTCCGGACCGCAGGTGTATGCGATGGGGAACGAATGCGCGCTATTGTCCTTTCCGGGGAGTAGCGCACTTCACCACCACACCATCCGGGTCCTTCGTTTTGCCTGTCTCTCAGCTAGTTCTAGTAGCAGTAGCAAATATCTCAGCATTATGTACGAGTTATATTTCGCAACATACCCTGCCATTAAGAAGAAAAAGGCAGTAAATAAAAGAGTTAAGATTGTGATTATAACTAAGCCTCAGCTTAACTGGGTTCAGTGCCGATTGGGCTTCCCAGATCAATCCCGTTGACGGTGATTGCTGATGGCAAAAGATCAATAGAACTAGCTGAGAGACAGGCAAAACAAAGGACCCGGATAGTGTGGTGGTGAAGTGCGCTACTCCCCACTAAGGACAATAACGCTCGTTCGTTCCCACCGCATAC